TCTTGAATCGTGTAGATATTAACAAAATGGAAAATTATTTTATTTATTTGTAATTAAATTCATAAAGAAGTGACAATTTAATCATTTTTATTACAGAATGTTTGAAGAACTACATAGAAAAACTTATATAACCCCAACTTCTTACTTGGATTAATCAAAGCATTTCAAGGTCTTTATGGAGCTAAAGTTGCAGAAATAGTTGAAGGAAGAGATAGGTAATAGCGATATTATATATTAATTGATATGGGCAATTAATCCATATTAATTGTCTCAATTATAAAAAAATATTCCATTCATTAGGTATATTAATGGGTTGGCTAAGTTAGACTTTGCAGCAGGTCAGGTTGTTTAATGCAAGACGAATTGCATGCTCTGCAACCGCAGCTAGTAGAAACTTCTGATAAAACAGAGAAATTGATGGTTAAAATCGAACGGACACTGTCATTGTTGAAAAACAAAAAGAGGTATTGTAGTATATAACAATAATATCTAAACCGTAACTTATCAAATAACTTAACATTTTAAATCTTAAGATTGTTGGCGCAGACGAAGCTCTTGCAAACGAAGCAGCAGCTGCTGCTCAAGCTATAAAGGACGATTGCGAATCTGATCTTCAAGAAGCAATACCAGCTCTTAACGCAGCTTTGGAAGCACTTGATACTCTTTAAACCTGCTGATATAACAGTGGTTAAATCCATGAAAAATCCTCCAGCAGGTGTTAAACTTGTTATGGAAGCCATTTGTGTAATGAAGGGAGTCAAACCTGAGAAAAAGCCAGAACCAGGTGCCATTATAAATATTTTTTTAAATATCTGTATGTAACATTTTTCTTTGTTGTGAAGAAAATTCTATAAATCGTTTCGAATAGGTACTGGTAAAATGATTGAGGATTATTGGGGACCATCACTAAAAAATTTTGAGTGATATGAAATTTTTAGAAAGTTTGAAAACTTTTAATAAAGACAATATACCCGAAGCGACAATGAAGCGCATCAGACAAAAGTAAGTACATATTATATTTAAATTCAATCGTGAATACATTAATTCTATCGTCGTAAACAATCAAGATTCATTCCCGATCGAGATTTTGAACCTGATGTGATAAAGAATATTTCTACCGCTTGTGAAGGATTGTGCAAATGGGTGCGAGCTATGGATGTCTATGATCGTGTTATTAAAATTGTAGCACCAAAAAAGGTGAATAGAAAACATCATGGGTCCTTTCATTGAAAAATAGTAGCCATTTTTCGCATAACAACTTTTTTTTTGTTATATACAGGCCGCACTGGCTGAGGCAGAAGCTTTGCTGGCTGCGCAAATGGAAGTGTTAACTCAAAAAAGGGCACAATTACAAACTGTAATGGATAAATTGCAAGCTTTGAATGACGAATTTGCAGAGTTTTCCAAGAAGAAAAAGAATTAGAAGATCAAATTGACATATGCGAAAAGAAATTGGACAGGTTTTTAAATTATTAAATTATTCTTGTTAAATATTAATAATATTGGTTTCCGTAATACATACTGTTGCATTTATCCGTTAAAACATAGCATTCACATTAAAATTATAATTATATCATTTATGTGGAAAAGTATGTGAATATGAGGAGTATATTATCAAATCTAAACAATAGCTGATCTAAAATAACAATTTCAGAGCTGAAAAGTTAATTGGTGGCTTAGGGGGCGAAAAAGCGAGATGGAGTAATACAGCAGACACACTAATAGCTCTCTTGGAAATATAGTGGAGATGTTTTACTAGCTGCAGGTGCTGTGGCCTACTTTGGACCTTTCCCTGTTAATACAAGATCGAGATTGGTTAGGATGTGGAATGATAAATGTTTAATCTTCGTAAGTTATTGATGAAAATGTTATTGATATTCGAATGAAATATACGCATAATTTTGCCGTTATAAATTTATAATATATGGGGTTGCCTCTTCTTCAGAAACTCTGAATATTGAAACCAATTTCTTCACTCTCACCAAAAAACAAATTGCACCTTCACCAATGAAAAAGTCGTGTTATTCTATAATATAAAACATAATTCTATCTCATAAATCTGAGAATGATTGGATCTTGAGGATTAATTAGATTCATATTATTTTTTCTAATTAGGGATTCCCTGCTCTGAAATCTTTACATTATGGAATACCTTAGGCGAAGCAGCTGCTGCTAGAGCCTGGGGATTAGCAGGTCTACCTGTTGATGCATTTCTATAGACAACGGAATAATTGTTACTCACGCTAAAAGATGGCCTTTGATGATTGATCCACAAGGTATTGAGATGCGATTCAAATTAGATTCAATTTCAAATTAGATCATGCCATATCAAAAATTTGGAGAAAGATAATTGAAATCCAACAATTGTGCATGATACTGTCTAGCTTGTGACTTATCATATTATGTTTAATTTTAACACTTTGTTGACCGGTCACAAGTTAACTCGTGTTCTTATGGCCGAATGTTGCTGATCAAATCACGAATAAACTCGTAACTCGCTTTTTGTCGCACCGCTGTTGTTTTCTCAATTGGCGACCGTACAATGCAGTTGCCAAAGCGGGTCCAAATCTTTTGGTGTAATATAGAGAAATAGCCGGTAACAAAGTGTTAATATTGGGTTGGGGAAAAGAAATCCATTATTTTTACGTGAACTTCAAGATTTTATTTAACATGTTTGCTTTGTCCGATTTAGGTCAAATATTCACCATTTTGTTCTATAATTTGTTGCCATTTTAATGGTAGCTTCATTATGCCTCTCTCATAAAAGTCTTGTTGCTTGTTAGCGAAAAACTCCAGCAATTGATTTTCACACTCTTCCCTTGATGCCAATTTCTTATCACTAAAAAAGTTTTGCAATGCAAGAAGCTACCATTAAAATGGCAACAAATTATAGAAACAAAATGGTGCATATTTGACCTAAATCGGACAATGCAAAACATGTTAAATAAAGTCTTGAAGTTCACGTAAAAATAATGGATTTCTTTTTCCCCAACCCAATATGTTTTGCAAGCTAGTTAATTTATCTCATTCTAAAGTTTTCTATATTGTCACGAATCCCTTTTTATTATTGTGAAAACCTTTTATTTATTATTTATTACCCTTGATTCATGCCCTAATTGTACTATGGTTGTTACATTCGCGGTCTTTCTACACCCTTACCGTGACGTCGCGATCCTGTAAGAAACTGATTACTTTAAAATACTAATGAAAAGGCGTTTGTTCGTTACTTAATTAACAAACCTATATTTAAACAACAATCCCTTAACTAAAAACATTTCTTATTCTAACATGCAACTTATTCTAGACTTATCTTTAACCACGGCGCAACCAGTGTCCATCACATGTCCATACATCGGGCCCGATTCACATAAATCACTTAACCATCACCTTTAGGTATTTTCACTAAGTCTACTTTCTGTTTGGGGACAGTCTCCGAACGCTGTCCCCCCATGATGTCCTCTAATCTCACATTCAATACATTTTATTAACACTTTCGTGCGCTGGACCGCACGTTTGTCGACACTGAGGCCACGCCGGCAACTCTCAACCCCGACAACGACTACCTCAAGACTACGACTATTTCTAGACTACTAAAAATGCAGACAACTCTCAGCCCTCGACACACTCCTCATCAGGGACATGGTGTTTTTATGCATATGGGAGAGGGGTAGTTGTGTGTTATTTTATAACTGTGTGTGGGTGCTTCCCACACATTCGTAACACTACCCCACCTCCTCTAAAGATCGCCCTCGATCTTTCAAAGCGCCATCCCTGGTGCCGCACCAGCTTTCTTGGCTCCGGATAACTTAGGTGGCGCACTCCAATGTCTGCCTGCTCCCGGATGAACGTCGATGGCGCATTCCAACTTGTCTGATCTGCTGTTTGCTCTCCTCCCGTAGGCTGACTTTGCTCAATCCGGCATGTCATCTGCATAGGCGTCGACCCCTAGCACCCTGATACACAATTCGGGTCGCGATGTTTCAGTAATGTAGTTGTACACGCGTTCAATTTTTTCTTGCACTGTTACACAAAATTACTTCACAACAGATTTCAACCAAAAGTAAGATTACATTAACAGTTTAGTGTATTTGTCCAAAAAGTGTCATAACAAACAAAAAAAAACATCACTTAGTCCACTTTACTTATTCACTGTTTGTTAAAACTTTGATCTAACCTTATTGCTTTTATTACTACCTACATAAACTACATTCAAATATAATAAAACAAAATCGATCAAAGTTAATTGAACATATCAAATTTAATGAGAAAAAAAAAAATATTCGAACTTATCAAGTATTAAAAATTATCAAACATTATAAAAGTAAATAACATAAAAACACTCAGAAAATGAACATAAACTTATCTACACTTAGCACTTACTTCTATAAAATTTAAAAAATAACACTATCTCATAATATTTTTATCAACAGCTTTTTAATCTATTCTAACAATAGATTCTAAAACTTAAAATAATGACATTATAACTACAACAAATTTACATTTAACATAGCCATTTGGACTGTAAAACATAAACGCATTTGTTCTTTATCAACCTAAACCTAGTTACATACTTATTAACGACAATGTTTACTTAACAATGTAAAAACACAAAACACACAAACAAAAGAAAAGCATTGCAAGAGTAAGACTAAGAGCGAGAATAAGAACAATAAAAGTCAAATTGAACATAAGTAATTAAAATACTCTACATATTATTTTAAAATTCGGGAATTGCTGACTGTTTTGAATTTGGCGGTCCCATCTCTATTAACGTACAACGCAAACATAAACGTAATTTACTTTTACCCTAGTCTAACTATTTCTATTACTATTAACCGTGTACAGCAAGTGCGCTTCTCAATATAAAAACAAGAAGTGAGTCGTCGGAATGCTTGTTTCCCCGGTGTTCCTAGGCTCCAAACGGTGCTAGATGCCCATAGCACCTTGCCTATCCAATAAAAGACCTGAAGCAGCATCGCGCCCGCTTATAATTTCAGAAGGAAATTACCATCAGCAATAAAAACCAAACAACACACAACGTCGCGCGACGCTTACTGATGGCGGAAGCTTTTGAGCAGGCATCGGGAGCGGATATCTGCTCAAAAACTTCACATTAGCGGCAGTACAATGTGGTAAAAAGTACCGGCTCTAGCGTGAAATCCACAAAATTTCACTAAAATACATATATCATAATCAACAACCAAAGCTTCCAAATGGATAGCGTGATAGCAATCAGCTTGTATGTGATGTATCACGCTTCAACGGTCTCACTCAGAGCACCAGAACCCTCGCTGGGGGTGCTCCCACAGCCCAAATCCATATCCCCATGCTGTGAGATCAAAATCAAATCCATAATCAATAATCCATAACAACAACAAAACACCAGCCCGGGCGATCTTTCCCCAAAACCGTAAAACCCCAAATTTTCCCAAAAATCGCAAAACCCAATTCTATCCTCAATTTACTTTTTCTAAACACCCCGAGTATAATCCACATACATTATATCAAACACAAAACAACAATCAACTAAAATTTACATTTACTCAAATCTTGCATTAAAATCTAAAACATTTTCATTTAAAACGAGGGAAAAATCAAAATACACTTATCTCTTATACTTAGCTGGCCAGCTGACATTCATAAAAATATGCATACTCACACACAATTCTCAATTCCCGACTGAACTAAACAACCACTTTCACAACCAAATCAAAATATTCATCTATTCATGTTAATAATCATCTATTAACCCCCAATTTTCTCTTTCGCGTCGTATTCCTTCATACGCGAATTATTTCCTTTATTTCCTTGAATCCCTCACAAGGACATTTTTTTTTTTCTCAACATCTTTTTCCCCAATATCATTTATCCCAACATTATTCTCAACGGTTATAAAGTATCGCCCAGTGCTCTCTGAGTGATGGAAAAGAAACACCAAAGTACAAACCAACGTCTCTACACTTGCTGTTAAACCGCCCTATTCTATCTCTATCTTCTAATTATTCATAACATTCTTTACCCAAAATCCTATTCGTAATTTTCTATTTTTTTTTTCATTTTAAGCGTACTCCTTTTATGACACTATTATCTAAAATCTAAATTATTAAACGGATCAATTTTCTATTTATAAAACTGCATTTACCTATCTCTATCAACCAAATATTCTAATATAATTCGTCTGATCGCACCTGCATTGCAAAAACCAATTTATAAATGTTATTTTTTCCTAAGATTAATTTACTTAAACGAAGAGAAAGGTGTAATAAATAGAATATTAAAGAAACAATAACAAAATAAAATCATACGCATTGTTATTTAATATCTGCAAACGACACGACCAAATATTTTAAATTTTAACAAATTATCAAATTATTCAAAAGTACTTAATCTATGAGCTATTATGTAACTTGCCCTTTTTTCCAC